TCAGGTTTCACCGTGATTACGGATGAAGAATGGGCCAAATCTACCCAGAGAAAGGCGTGCTTCCGTCTACTGTCCACGACTACTGTTCACATATACATACATTAACTGAGGCTGCGTACAGGCCTCTCCGAGTGCTTTGATATGAGTTGCAGTCATCTATTGGACAACAGCTTGTATTTCAGCTATATGATGCCGTATGATCTCGGTGCGAAGGGCTCTTGCATGATTGGTGGTAATGTGGCAACAAGTGCCGGTGGAATACGCCTGTTACGATATGGCAGTCTCCATGCACATCTTTTAGGATTAACCGTGGTAAGGTACTCACCTGAACGCTTAGAGGCATTCCATGCTGGTCGAGTGGGCGGATCCAGGCTTACCAGTCCGCTATCTTCGTTGGTCTGCCTATTTTCTCAAACAAGGCAAAAGAAGGGACGCATCTATTCTTCCCTAGTGCGACCACATAATCAGCATGGGCTGTTCCTTTCAATACAGTTGACAGTATATGTACGGTACTATCAGGTTCTACCAACAGAAGAGGGTTCGATAGTAAAGTTGGGCTCAACACATCGTAAAGACAACACATCGCTTCACACTCCTCACCTATTTCTAGGCAGTGAGGGACAATTGGGTGTTATAACCCGAGTTGTAATGAGTACTGTGCCGAAGCCAGTGTCAGTACAAAGTGCGATGTTGGGTGAGTCTTTTAGACTTCCAATTAATGACTCAATTTTCGCCGATTTCGTTACAGGAGTGGATACATTCGACGGCTGCTGCAGTGTGCTTCGTCTAGCCAAACGTCATCTGTCAGAAATTCTCTCGTCCTTTGAATTTCTCGATTGTGAAACGATGACCCTTCTCGATGAAAGGCTTGGCTTAAAGCCTGTCCTACAATCGAATCCACGATTTACAATACTTGTAGAGACCTCAGGTAAACGCCTTGATCCCAGTATGCGAAAGTTCATCTGCTCCTTCAACGCATACACTCATTTTTCTCTAGGCTCCAGTGCAGCACACGACTCTGAGAAAATGGAAAAATTTCTTAGTCACTGTATCAGCAGCGGACTGGCTTCCGATGGTGTACAGGTGGGCGGATCTGGTAGCTAAGCCAGGTTACTTTAGTTCCGCGTAGACTTGATCAGCGGTAAAGTGTAAACTGCATGACTACCGACGACGTTCAGGAAGAGATATTACAAGGCAAGCTCCAAAAATCGGGTTTGCGACCTCACGATCGACAGCGAGCACCAAACTGCGCTACCTGAGCGGGTGAAAAGGAGTATGTACCCTTACTCATTTCTGTCCTAGAAGATAACTAACTCTACCATAGTGTGTCTGTCGCTTAAAGGCTGCCCCACGGAGAGCTTCGGTTCTTTTATGGTCCTGGAGTCCGTAGAGTTTCGACATAACCCTATCCC